AATTGGTGGAATGAAGATTGGCAGGGGAACCGAAGTACTCGGTGAAAACCTGCCCCAGCGCCACTTTGTCCACCATAAATCCCACTTGACTAGACCCGGAATTGAACGCGGGCCACCGCGATTGGAAGCCAGCGACTAACCACATGAGCTATGGTGCAGCACAAAACGCACCTTAATCATCCATAAAACAAAACAAACTCCTTGGCCTGTAGTCCGCAAGCGAACTATACCGATCGAGCAACCGTCACCTGTCAGCGAAGTTAATGCCAAATTTAGCGGATAGAGGGCTTCGCGTTGTCAGCGCAACGGATACCCCCGGTCTTTAATCTCGGTTTTTTAGACCAGAGACGCTATTTCCATGAAATATCTCCTCAATTATCCTCACGAGGCTGAGTAGACTCCGTTCCAGACCCACTACTACTCAGAAAATCTGGTAGCGCCGGGACTCGAACCCGGAACCTCTGGATCTGTAGCCAGGAACTCTGACCACTAAACCAAGGAGGCGGTCTCATAACCATCCACACTGAATTGAAAATTTATGCACAGGATAATGTGAAATGGTAGATTTATAAACTGTCCCTTTGTCTAGGATCTCATATTTGCAAGAGACTTCACTTCCCCGTTCCTGACGGACACGGCGATCAACCCCCAAACTCGGTGTTCCCCTCCACACCCCTCGATCTGACACGACAGCGAACGTCTCAAGGGGGGGACAGGATGAAATGCACAATCCTCAGTTACTCCTGTGTCGCAGAAAGGAGACAGGACACGAACAAAAGTCGCAGCTTATAAAACAGTCTGCAGTACACTTATGACACAAACTGCAATCGGAGCAAAGCAATAAATTAAGATGTTGAAAGCCGTCAGTTGACCATGGATTGTATTTACGAAATAAACATTGTTCCATGATTCATTCCCTAGATTTCCGTGGTACTGAAAACAAGGGAGCTGAGTTCGTTTTGAGGAACTAACAGTTACTTAATCATATGGTCGCGCCATAGCTCAAGCGGTTAGTCGCTGGCTTCACACCGCGGCGGCCCGGGTTCGATCCCATGTCTGGTCAAGTGAGATTTCTGGTGGACAAAGTGGAGCTGGGGCGGGTTTTCTCCAAGTACTTCGGTTTCCCCTGTCAATCTTCAATCTACCAATTGCTCCACAATCACCGTCACCCATCATCTGGGGCTGGTACAATAGGCCAGAATTGGCCGCAGTACAAGGGACTTAGTCCCACCCCACTAAGAACAAAAAAATACTTAATCATACGGGAATTTTTCCAGAAGTTCACTACCACATTCACAATGGCTTGTCACCAATCCGATACCTAAGTCAGATTAATCCATTTCACACTCCCACATCCCATGTCTTTCAAAAAATGTAATATTGTCACGTGTTAGGTATGTCACGCGACAAATAAATTCACGTGGGACTCGGATTTAGCGAATCTTTATTGGATACTGACTCTTACACACCTTACTATTATCACCACTTGCAGTATCACTTGACTTCTGGCCCAATACTCCAATGCAACGTCTCAACTATCCTTGGCCGCGGTTCGATCTCAACTGTTTCTGGCGGCGGCTGTCCCAATACTGTCTCGCTCTCAATACTCCAATACTCCAATGCTCTGTACGTGACGTAAGCTCTGCTTATATAGGGGCTATGCGGACTGGATACCGGACACCGTTGCTCACTGTTTCGTTACCGCTGTTCAGCAATCCGTTGCTTCGGGAGCGCTCCTATAGATGTCACCGGTAACGTGTCCCGTCTCAGCCGTTGTTACTCAACGACAATTCGTTGCTACGATTTGTCGCTGCGGGAACTCCACAATTTCCACGTACTCGTTGTCGTGGAAGTGTCCGTTCCGATATTAACGGTTGTCGCGTGATGGACGTGAGGTAACGCGTCACAATATTATCCACCCATCTACGGTAAGGTTTCCAAATCTCCTCTTCCCTTCTGGCTTTCCGACTATAATTTACATGTCTCTTCTATGCATGCAACATGTCCTGTCCATCTCATATCCCTGAATTTGATCAACATAATAATATTCAATAAGAGAGCCGGGATATCGCAGTCGATATAGCGACTAGTTACGGGCTTGGATGGTAAATGGGTCGGAGTTCGAGTCCCTGAAAATGTACGATTTTTCTCCCCTCGTGTCGTCCAGACTGATTCTGTGGCAAACCCATGCCCCTATCCAGTGGATAACGGGGTAAAGCGGCCGGGGCGTGTAGCTCACCACTCAACTCCAACTACTGGCGAGTTCAGGAACACGTCGATCTATACATCCCCTTCCCCAAATGTCGTCACGGGGTAATGAAGAATGATGGCCACATTTTAATAATATTTAATGAAGATAATTGTGTAGTTTCCCTCGGCCGCCTCATACTTAATCTTAGGTCGTAATATTTTCCTCAGCTCCCTATTCCTAAACTCCGTCTTTCTATGCTCTCTCTTCATGATGCGAGAAGCCATGCAAAATAAGAAGTAGCATCAGAGCTGTGAATACTTTTATTCTTTACGTGTTATGAAATGGGTAGACAGAAGATCCATTTCCCGTGTTTAACCTTCCTTTACTTTCCTGGAGAGTGTAATTATTATTCTTATTGTCATTCCCAAGACCGCCTCTTTGTTCTACTGGTCAGACTTCCTGGCTACAGATCCAGAGGTTCCGGGTTCGATTCCCGGTTACCAGATTTTCTGAGAAGAGAGCGTCTGGAACGGGGTCTACTCAGCCTTGTGAGGGTAATTGAGGAGCTATTTCAAGAAAAAAGCGGCTCCGGTCTAGGTACCCTAGATTAACGGCCACGGGGCACCGTTCTGCTGACCACGCGACACCCTCTATCCGCAAAAGTCGGCATTTACTTCGCCGACAAGCAGCGGTCGCTCGTTCGGTATAGTTCACTTGCGGACTGCAGGCCACGGAGTTACTGTCGTTCCCAAATATTGACGCTACATCGAGCAGTTGCAACACGAGAATAATAGTAAGCAGTTTGATTGATAAAACTTTCATGTTTAAACCTATGCTTTAATTAGATTTCCAGATGTAATGTTCCTGTAACATAAAATTCAGACCCTACTTTTCCACCTCTAAGGGCACTGTAATTGTGTTGACGTTCTTTTTCCAAAAGACCGTTTACTTGAATCTATTTTCGATGAAATATGATCCAGCAAAATATATAAAAGTAGATTTTAAGGGTTCTGACGATGTTGTATAACACTCAGAATTGCTAGGTTTTTGAACTTTGTCCATCGTCTGGTATTCTAGACACTAAAAAAAACGCAACGTTTCGGAAACTGGATCTGTTTCCATCTTCAGGTGACGGGGAGACACCTACTCTGTTGGGTCCCTTACAAAGAGCTGGTCCACTGATTGAAGTTAGCTCTTTCTAAGTAATCCAAAGAGTCGACGCCTTCCCCGCGTCACCTGACGACGGAAACAGATCCAATTTCCGAAACTTCCTGTCCTCTATTACCTATAATTCCGGACGATGGAAAACGTCCAAAAACCTAGCAATTCTGTGAGAATGATTATTATTGTCTTAAAAAAGACCCCTCTTTAAAAGTAGCTTCAAAATCTTTTGATATCCATTTCTTTTTCAGCATCCCCTACAGATTAGACAACATGTCGTGCGTGTCTTATGTGCAGGTATATCTGGTAGGCATATACCGCGAAAGGCATGGTTCCGAGGTGGTGGTGAGGGGGTCTTTTTATATTACACAATCAATTCATGACAGTAAAAGTGATTATTTCTAAATGCCCAGTAGTACGTAAATTGTGTTTGCGACCAATGTCATTCAAAGCAAGTACTTCCGGTAGAGAGAAGCAGGCTTTGCGAAACTCAGCAATGCAGTTAGATAATAAGTAATAATGAATTATAATAAAAAATATTCAGAACAGGTTTCAGCTGTTTATCTATAATAATGAGATTTCTGAGTTAGACATTTGACTCTATGGATCGAAATTCTTGGATAACCAATCATCGCACAAGTACTAAAGAAATTCCATACGTTTTAAGAGACCCGGATGCCAGTAAACTTTTCACAAGTGTCCGACTGTGGCAACCAAGTCTGAACCCAATTAAACTATTCCGTACACTTCCCTCTTCTTTCAAAAAGATATATTTTAATATTGTCACGTGTAGGCGTTACTATAGACGGGGTTTTGGATTGGATTTATTGACGTCTTATTCACACATCTCGCTACTGCACGTAATTACAGAGCTATCGCTGATCTACGCACTATATAGTTCACCGTTACACACGAACTGGGTTTCTCAGTCATCACTAGTCGTATCGTGGCAATGGATTTATAACAGTCTCACTGTCACTTGAAGTTTTCTTTGCACAGTCTGATCTATTTCATGGCATTTCTTGTCAATCACCTTCGACTGTCATCACCAGAATTCTATCCAATTCTAAACAACAACTCACCCAAATGAACTGTTCTTCAACTGAACTCTTTTAACATCTGACAACTAACTCTTACAGCTGAACCCTTCTTTATAACCACTTTGCACGGACCTCACAAGAAAAACAACCTCTGTTTTAAAGGAAGCGTGTTTACTGATCCGTTGCCTCGAAATGGACGTCAGCGCGGACCACATACATAATATCCTCTCTATTGTTGAGGCGTGTTTACCGCGATCACGTCTTTACCGAGCTGATGCGTAGAATTGGGTTGCATAACCCACTTTGTCCTATTGTTGCGTGCGTGTGTTACTTAGCAACAGCTGTTTTTCTGGCTCCACAGTTCCTGCATGGAGCAAATACGCGGCAATATTACACTCCCATCTAAGCAAGAGTCTTCAAAGTGGTCTCTTATTTTCAGGGATTCCGAATAAAAAAAGTCGGGGCTGGTTCATCAAGGTCTTATAACGAACAGTTCAGTATATTATTGGAGAATGGACACATTCTTGGAACAGTATGATGGGCATTGCCCCGCATCGTGGGGGTTCTTATTTTTGTATTAAAATAAACATCTTTGGCATTTGTTACAGGTAAGTGCTGGAACTCACCTGCCTACAGCTCCCCGTGGAATATGAACACAATGGACATCATATACAATGAGGGTAAGATGTTTCATCACAATCAATTAGTAACTCGAAGTCGTATTATGAAGTGATTATTCAGAATGCAAATATTGTCTGTCTGTTCTGGACTAATTATGAGACAGCATTTTAGTAAATTAATGATTGAATTGGATTATACAAGAATATTGCACAAAGTGAGATGTAGCTAAGTATGTTTATGACGTTTATGTTGTCCTTGATGTTTAGGTAATGAGCTATGTACTGGGTTAAGTACAAAATACGAAATATTATTACATCAGTCAATATATATATATATATAAATATGTATAAGGTGTATGCAAATTTGTATTGGTTACCATAATTTTATAATATATTGGTAGTCGTAAGATATATTAATTAGTTGAATAATTAATTTCATAAAGCCTATCACTAGGTTTTAAAATTTAAGCTACAAGACTAACGTATTATCTCAAGTCATTTCAGCTCAAAGGTAATATAGATATAAGTAAATTTATATAGTAATCTCTAGTATTATTGTTGCAGCTATAATTCATGTTTCACCAACAATTTCATACATAACGGTTCAGGATCATGCTTTACGATTAATAATAAACTTGAACTTTTCCCTCTGTTCCTACTGGGTTATATATATATATATTTGATAATATTGAAACGTTCAAATTATACATTTAATTGAAGGTAATTGCGTATTGAATTACACAGTAATTACGCCATGATTAATTAAATAACACGCGGAAGTCGAAAATTAAATTAAATTCGACATACGATATATTTTACGCTTGTAAAATATTGAGAGTTTCAAGAAATATTGTCGTCAGTGTTTTAGTGTTACTCTTAATTTTTTGTTATGTTTTTAGTGATTTGACCGCGTCTCTGGTCCAGTGGTTAGCGTTCCTGGCTACAGATCCAGAAGTCCGAGTTCGATTCCCGGCACTACCAGATTTTCTGAGAAATAGTGGGTCTGGAACGGAGTCCACTCAGCCTCGTGATTATAATTGAGGAGCTATTTGAAGG